CCTTCTTAGCACATGACCTTGTATTTGATTTCACTGAGAAAATGAAGTTCACCAGGCAAGAACAGTTTACTTCCTATTGCTTATAATAAACCCATCAGAATCCTCACCCACTTTCCTTCTTCCAGGGGAAGGGGCACTCTTTCTACCCAAGGTTACTTCTTCCAGATGTCCAGTCAATAAATAAGACAATAAAAGAACCCCGACCCGGTTCATATTCATCCACTGCCTCAAGGGTCTTGGTCTATATAATCTGTTGGTTCCTGTAGCTTACCTGTCACTTCTCTGGCTCTCCTCTCCTGCTAAGCTTTGTTTCCTAATTAAAATCTCCTGCAACTGCCCTAGCCACTGCTGCTACCAGAACCATCATAGGCTAGTTTCATATTCATCCACTGCCTCAAGGATCTTGGTCTATAAAGTGTCCTCTCTCACACACGTTTTTTTTTTTTTTTTTGAGATGAAGTCTCACTCTGTCACCCAGGCTGAAGTGCAGTGGCACGATCTCGGGTCACTGCAACTTTTACCACCCGGGTTCAAGTGATTCTCGTGCCTTAGCCTACTGAGTAGCTGGGACTACAGGCATGTGCTATCACACCTGACTAATTTTGGTATTTTTAGTAGAGACAGGTTTTCACCATGTTGGCCAGACTGATCTCAAACTCCCGGCCTCAAGTAATCTGCCTGCCTTGGCCTCCCAAAGTGCTGGGATTACAGGCATGAACCACCGCAGCTGGCCACACTCATATGCATTTTTAATCTCTCCTTTTCAACCTTTTTTTTAACCTCAAGTTACAAAATGTGCTACTCTCTTCTATGTACATTTTAAGATATATTGACCTTACACATAACTACTTAGATATTATCTCTTTCCTTCCTCTCTTAACCAAACTTCATAAGAGGACCATCTAAACTCATTGTTTCCACTTCCTTATCTTGTATTGTTTATCAGCCTGCTGAAATTTCACCTGTCACCACAACACCAATGAAGGATGATAAGTGTGACCTTCATATTGCCATTTCCATTAAATACTCTCCTCTCATTATGTTACTTTACAACTCTTGGGCGTTTGCTTCAAAGAGTGCTCCCTCCCCCTTGAAAACCACTTTTTCTTTAGTTTTCATTACACCATGTTTTCGCTCATTCCTCCGTGCCAGGAGTTTTCTTCCCTCCTCTTTATTTTCTTTCCCTTCTCAGTGCTAATATAGAAATAAAGACTTTACGATCATCAAAACTTTGCGGTGTGAGACCGTTACTCAAGGGAAAGGTATGTCTTACAGATGTTAAATGTGAAGAATCTGAAAGACCTCCTTCTAAGTAAAAACCCTTCATTATCCTTCAATAATGGAACCAGAAGTGAAGTCATCATAATCATGAAGAATCTGGGGTTCACCTTATTCCTCACCTTGTGAGGAAATAAAGAAATAGGCACCCAAATTTATATATTGCTGGAGAGTTTAAATTGGTGGGTCTCTCACACCAGTCAGAATGGCGATCATTAAAAAATCTGGAGACAACAGATGCTCGAGAGGATGTGGAGAAATAGGAACACTTTTACACTGTTGGTGGGAGTGTAAATCAGTTCAACCATTGTGGAAGACAGTGTGGTGATTCCTCAAGGATCTAGAAATAGAAATACCATTTGACCCAGCAATCCCATTACTGGGTATATATCCAAAGGATTATAAATCATTCTATTATAAGGACACATGCACACATGTGTTCATCGCAGCACTGTTTACAATAGCAAAGACCTGGAACCAACCCAAAAGCCCTCGATAATAGACTAGACACAGAAAATATGGCACATATACCCCATGGAATACTATGCAGCCATCAAAAATGATGAGTTCGTGTCCTTTGTAGGGACATGGATAAAACTGGAAACCAGCTGGTGTCTGGGAATTAAAGAGTTAGCTTTTTATTATAGTCTGCAGTCTGGGCTTATTTGTACTCATCCTTCTTGGGAAAGCTTTTCATCCAGTCAAAGGGAATTGAGTGTTGTGATCTAAGTCTTTGGTCACTGCAGCGATATCTGCATTAGGGAGCACCACAAACCCAGTAACACTGTGACTCCTGCAGACTTATAGAAGCACACCTTGGTGGTCTTGGGTATGACACAGGAAAACTTACTAGATTACCAGAAAGAGACTCTTGTTATCTTCTGTTACTTTACACCAAGGAAACAAAGTCGCTCTCTCCATTCTGAGCTACCTGGAGCTGGGGGAACAGTGACACAAGTACCCTTGTGGCCACCATCACTGAAAGTGCACTAGGTCAGATGTGAAGCCAGCACAGCACTGGTCTCACCCAAGGCTTGTGGTGACCACTACCTGGCTACCACTGATATTCCCTCAAGGTCCAAGGGCTCTTCAGTAACCTTATGGTGAATGCTGCCAGGCCTGGGTCTCTACCTTCAGGGCAATAGGCTCCTTCCCCTCTGACCCAGGGCAGGTCCAGAAATGCAGTCCAGGAGCCTAGAATCAAAGACTCCAGGTGCTTACTTGGTGCTCTACCCCACTGCAGCCAAGCTGGTACTTAAGCTGCAAGACAAAGTCCCCGTTAGTCTCGGGTTAAATCTCTCCTTATCTATGTCCAATCTCCCCCTCATTTCCTCAAGCAGAAGCAGTCTCTCCCCATGGATACCATAGCTAAGAATGTGCTGGGTCACACTGGAAGCCAGCATAGCACTGGATCTCACCCAATACCTATGGCAAATACTGCCTGGGCACTGCTGCTGATTAGTCAGAGCCAAAGGGCTCTTTAGTCAGCAGGTTTTGAATCCTGCCTGGACTGGGTACTTCCTTTCAAGGCAGCATGTTTCCTTCTGATCCAGAGTGTGTCTTAAAATGTCATCCAGAAACTAGGTCCCAGAATAAGGACCCTGGGACTCTGCATGGTGGTGCCCTATCCTTTTGTGGCTGAGCTGTATCCTTCCAAGACAAAGTCCTCTTTATTCTCCCATCTTTTCTCCTCAAGTGGAAGGAAGGAGTCTCTCCCAGAGCTGCAAGCTCCACTGCCTGGGGTTGGAGGAGGGGTTACACAAGCACTCCCTTGGCCACCCAGCTGGTGTCTCACTAGGTCATGTTCCCTGTTGTATGCAAAATTTCAATGCTGCAAAAGAAAGAGCACTCGAATATAAATCCTCTCAGCAAGGCAGTTTACTTCTATAGAAGGGTGGAGCAATGGTGAGCTGCACCTTGACAACGGAAGGAAAGGGGTTCTTATTCCTGATGCAGGTAGCCCCTCCTGCTGTGTCATTCCGTCATTGGCTAGGGTTAGACCGCACAGCCTAAGCTAATTCTGACTGGCTATTTTAAAGAGAGCAGCAGTATGAGCCAAAGTGGCAGGGTGGGTAGTTTGGTGGGAAGGACAGTTATGGGACAAGTCAGAGCAGGTGACTGGGGTGACTCAGGTCAAAGCAAGTGACCAGGTCAGGTGACTGGAGCAGGTGACCAGAGCAGGTGACCAAAGCAGGTGATTTGGATAAGTCAGGATGAAGCAGGGGACCAGGGGAACAGATGTGAACTACTGATTAGAACTGGTGGAAAAGGTTGTTTACTAAAACAAGGAATTTAAATTTTAAAATGGAGGATGAAGAACTGAACATGCTAACATATTGATTCTTTGTAGAGAAATTTAGAGCTCATTGTATCCGACATTCCCTCCATGTCCACTGGCTCTGAGCCCAGCATAGCACCAGGACTCGCCCAGGAATTTTGGTCCTTATGGCTTAGATTGCCTTTCAAGTTTATTTAGGACCCCAGAGTGCTTTACCCTGCAGTCGTGGGACAAGTGAAAAATCACCACTGGGATGGGCGATTCCCCTGTGGGCTGGTCTAAATGCTCCCTCTGTGGGCACTGGCTGAATTCTGTCCCATGTTGCTATCTGCTTTGACTGTGCAGCACTTAGTTCCAATGGAAAGTCCCATAATCACTGCACTCTTCCTCCCTGAAGCACAGACTCTCTCTCCACACCACACCTGCTGCTGGGAGATGGGGAAGGGGTGGCACTGGCAATTCAAGACTGTCTCTCCTGCCCCCTTCAGTGCCTCTTTTGTTGATATGATGTTAAAACCAGGTACTATAATTGCTTATCTGACTTTTGGTTCTTATGAAGGTGCTTTCTTGTGCGAGTAATTGTTCCATTTGTGTTTCTGCAGGGGGCAATCAGTGGAGGCTTCTTGCTCCAGCTCCTCCTGTGTGTTCCTGGATTTTCTTCATTTCAATTTTGTGACTGCTCTGTTATTATCTTTAATAAATGTGTTATTCCAAACACTGAATGTTCCAGATATGTTTAATGTATAATGTTCACCAAAGGAGCCCACTGTGCAATGCAAGTGCTAATCAAAAAACATTAGTTTCTAGTTTTACCAAACTTTATTTCACTAGGCAAGGCACAAGAATTGAGTTACTAACTGATCCCAGCCCCTCATAAATAAGTCTAAGGAATAAATAAGCAACTAGAAAGTAAACTGTTACTTCTCTTGTAACATTCTTAAGGGAGACAAAGCAGTAAAGAACTACACCCAATTCTGATGATAGGTGGATAAATCCTTATTAAAGGCCTGAACCTTAGTCACAGAGGAGGACTGCACACACCCTGCCTGCTCAGGTGAAAGTTTAAGACCCAGCTGTAGTTCTCCTTTTCTTCTCTTCCAATAAGTAAATGAAATGGTGCACTCTGAAGTAGCCAAGCCATGGCCCACATGGAATTGCTATCATCACATCCTTAATGAAGTGAGAGTCACTACCACCACATCCATAACTAAGGGACACTTCCTGCATCAGAACCAATCACTCGGGGACAGGAGCTTGTTTCCACGACTTCCTTCTATGAGCATTATATCCAGATTAACTGGCCCTTTGCCTCTTTAGAGTTAGCTACCAAAGACCCTTATGGGTGGGTTAGGGAGGATTAGGATATACTGTTTTTCTCATCTTTCATTCCTCTAATTTATGGGCTAACAGAAACAACTAGAATCAATTGTTCTCATTCTTATTTATTCATCCATTTATTTATTTAATAGTCACTGAATGTGAGCACTATCATAGGTATTTGGGATACAGTGGTAGATAAGATATAGTCCATGTTTTGTTAAAAAAAACTATGAAAGATAAAGACAAAAAGAATTATGGTCTCCTTCATTACTACACCTCTCTCCTTATGAATGCCTAAACTCTACTAAGGAGAAATAATAAAGTTTTTCTTATTTTTGAGGCATTAGTGCCTAAGACAATTTGGTGATCCAACCACATAAACTGTCTCTGTAAACTTTCCTCTATGAAAATGCCTTATCGAATTCATTGCTATCTTGAAATTAATATGCAGGTCACATATTCACAGAATAGAAAAGATACAATTATACATTGGTTTATTCAACCATATCTATGCATACTCAGAAAAAAAAAAAAAATCAACCAAGACCAGGTTTTTGCATTAAGTGTGAAGACCTAAGAAGGAGGAAGTACCACTTTGCTCTCACTCACTTCCCACAATTTATGTTCTCACCATTAGCATTTTTTTTAAGAGATAGAGCCTTGCTGGGTCTCCCAGGTTGGAGTGCAGTGGCACAATCATAGCTCACTACACATAGCTCACAATCACAGCCTCAAACTCCTGGGCTCAAGCAATTCTCCTACCTCAGCCTCCCAGATAACTAGGACTACAGGTACACACCACCATGCCCAGCTAGGTTTATTCTTTAGAATAAAGTTTGATCTGCAAGGATCACCGTTAGGATAAAAGCATACCGCCAGGAATCGGTAATGTACTAGAGGAGTAATAATGTACTTCTCTAGTACATAAGCAATAGTATATATGGCATAGATCTTATCAGATTAGCTCAGAATATAATATGAAAAAGATGTATTTTTGACAGAGATGGTTGGGCAGGGGATGAGGGTGGCAGCATTAGTTGGCATACTGAGAAATACAAAAAACAAACATCTATTTCAAAAGTTTGCTTAGATCTGGTCTTTAGATTGTTGACATATCTAAATAGTCTCCAAGAGAATCCATCAGTTAGGCATCAATCCCTAGGAGGTTGTCTTGCATGTAATGCCATATCTGAGAAAGTCCAGTATTTGCTAACCATATGCTCCTGGCTTTCTAACCGCCTGTGGCCGGCTCCCTCCTTTTAGGGATACATGACAGATCCGAGGGTCAGGACCAGTGGCCATCCATCAACGTCTGACCTTCTTACACACCCACTGTAAAAGAACTTCACAGCTTGAGGCTTGAAGAACATTTTTGTTGATGGCACCACATGTCTGCACTAAACTATTAAAAGCAATCCTGTAAGAATTCAGAAAAGTTAATCACTTAAGGCCACATGCACAGAAAAGGAGTTGAAAGGCATGAAGGTATAAAAACTGAGCAAATTCTTTTCCCCTATTCAGGTCCCCAGTTCCCCCAAACAGCAGAAGAATAAAAATGGTTCATCAGCCTCTCTTTAAAATGTCATCCTTTTTTTTGTCCTTACCCATTGTTCGTTCCCCTCCTTGCTCCCTATTTCTTCTCCTTTTCACTCTTTCCTCTCCTTTCCATCTGCTATTCTTAATCTATTCCCCAAGTAACATAATTTGTCTTTCCTCTCGCTCTCTTTTCACTCCTTTGAAGCCCCTTACCTTGAGAAGTTTAGAGGTGATCCATCTTCCCACCTCCAGCCAGAATTGTTCCTCAGTCCAATCCAGCAAAAGGCCTCACTGAGGAAACCTTTGACCAGGCTCTAAGGGAGAGGTTGAAAACCAAAAAAGGGACCTAGTGTTACAGTCAAACAATTTTTCCTTTCCACATTGGATCCCTAATACTAACTTAAGTAATTAATTAAAAGACAAACTATCATTCATTATACCCTCCATCATCACCACTCTTAAGGACTGAATGCTTGTGTCTTCCTAGAATCAACATTTTGAAGCCCTAACCCCCAGTGTGATGGTATCTGGATGTGGAGCCTTTAGGAAGTAATTACATTTAGATGAGGCCATGAGGGTGGCGCCTTCATGATGCAATTAGTACCCTTATAAAAGGAGAAAGAGACCAGAGCGCACTCTCTGCCAAGCTACGATACAACAAGAAGGCAGCCATGTGCAAGCCAGCAGTGGGCCCCCACCAGGGGCCACAGAACCTTGATATTGGACTTTCCAGCCTCCAGAACTGAGAGAGATAAACATCTGTTGTTTAAGCCACCCAGTCTATTGTATTTTGTTACAGCAGCCCAAACTAAGACAACTATTCACTATAAATAACTAATTTCTCATTTAACAGCTAATTCTAAAGATTAACATAGAGAGGAGCAGCGTCTTAAAATTCACCTCTCTATCTGTAACTGGATTCTTAGAATGTAGCAAATGAGATAATATTACATCTCTACTTTCCATTGCAATTTTCTCCTTAATTAAGCAAAGCACCTGATATGTATTCAGATTATCTAAAAGAAGAAGAAGAAGAAGAAGCAGCAGCTAAACATTTACTGCAGAAGTGGTCATTTTTCCCATTATCATTAAATACATAAATTATGATGAAGCCTATAGCAATATTCTTGGTTTTTCCCCCCACTAAAGTCTCATTTTCCATGTCCTCATCAATCTTGTATATGGCAAGAAAAAAACAGTTCTTAAGGGCACAGTTTAAGGTGAAGTTAAATTGGCTACACCACTTCTGCGGCCATGTTACCCAAAGAACAGAGATAAAAGATGCTTTGATCTGCAAAGTCTGACATTCAAATGAAGTTTATATCCTAAGAGAATTGTCTCTATAAATGAAATAAAATATTAATAGATTAAAATAACATGTTAAAAAGATAATCCAAGGTTAATTTGTTGTAGGATTTAATGTTGGTGTAATTACTAATTATATTTTCAATATTTTTGAATGACACCTTAATTAGTTAAATATCTTTGGAATAAAATATTCTTTTTATCTAGAAACTACTAAGAAAGCAATACAATTCAACTGCCTGTGGTTATTATGATATCACCTGATGTCGCATTCTGATGTCATTTTTATTCCACTCCTAGAAGATGGTTGCTGAAGAGTAAGAATTTATGGGCTCTGCTCTTAACTGTCTCTCTTTGCCTACTTGGACTCTGCACCAGCACAAATAAAGAGTTGCTCTTCTAAAGTTGAGAGAGGAGCCAGCACAGTGGGTCACTCCTGTGATCCCAGCACTTTGGGAGGCTAAGGTGGGTGGATCACTTAAGTTGTAATTTTGTATCTTTTAACATAACTCTCCCTAACTTCCCCTTCCCCAACCCTTCCCAGCTTCTTCTATCCTCTGTTCTGAGATCAATATTATTTTTGGTCTCAAATTCTGGACTCAAACAATCCACCCGCCTCAGCCTCCCAAAGAGCTAGGATTATGGGCGTCAGCCACCATTCCCACCAAAGTGGAATTTAAAATTTTGCTCAGCCAGATTTGTAACCTTGAACTTATACTCATTCATTTTCTGATTTTTTTTTTTTTTGAGACAGTGTCTCACTCTGCTGCTGAAACTGGAGTACAGTGGTGCAGTCTCAGCTCACTGCAGCCTCCACCTCCTGGGTTCAGGTGATTCTTGTGCCTCAGCCTCCCAAGAAGCTGGGATTACAGGTGTGCAACACCACACTTGGCTAACTTTTGTATTTTTAGCAGAGACGGGGTTTCACCATGTTGGCCAGGCTGGCCTCAAACTGCTGACCTCAAGTGATCCACCCATCTCAGCTTCTCAAAAGTGCTAGATGGCAGGCAGGAGCCACCACACCCAGACAGTTCCTCTGGATTTTATTCATTTACCAACAAAATGGGGATGTTGAACTCTACTTTTTAGAATGCTGTGATGGTTAAGAAAAGGCTGGGTGTGGTTGTGGGCAACTGTAACCCCAGCTACTTGGAAGGCTGAGGCAGGAACCCTGAAGGTGAAGATTGCAGTGAGCTGAGATCGTGTCACTGCACTTCAGCCTGAGCAACAAGAGTGAAACTTCATCTCCAAAAAAAAAAAAAAAAAGGAATACTATACCTAAAATACCTGGCAAAAAGCAGGTGCTCAATCCATGGTAGACTCTGTTACTATTGTACACTTTACCGTTAGTGATCTAAGATAGGAGGTGAACTCTACTTAAGTATCTCATTGAAAGATGACTGTGTAACAGCATGAGAGGGATATTTTCCACAGGCCTGTAAATTCTACATATAGCAACCAAATTCTCCAGCAGCACTCTCCACCAATGGAATGCCAGTTTGAAAAACTTCCGTTTTGATAGATCCATAAAGCTCTCATTTTTATTTTTATTTTTTGCTTTTTTGGTAGTGGCTCAGACCCCAGTATATACTGGAAACATTGCACATACCTCAAAATAGTATGGAAATCTTGCCCTGAGAACAAAAAAATAATAACACTAGAACAAGAGACTCAGCAGGTCACATAAAAGTTAATCTGGTTCTATAGGATCTGACAAAAGCTGGAGCCAGAAAAAGAATTAAACCAGAGAATCAAGTAAGATTCCACGGGAATGTCAAAAGTAAAACTTACGACATCTAGCAGGGACATTCCACCCTCTCCAGCACTGACTTGACCCCAAAGAGCCTTAAGAGAAGATAAACTCAATTTGGAAACCCAGTGAATGTAACTCTGCTGTTTGACTCAACAACAGTCTCAGGAACCAGGGCATGTAAGGAAACAAAGGAAGGAACGCCTCTAATGATCCTGCCCTTCCTCTGAGTACCTCACAGAAACAGAAGTATTGCTATTTTCCCAGATATTCTGTGCCCTTCATCTTTTCCCTCCTCACCTCTCATGATCACACTGTGAAATTTATAGTAGCCGCTACACCACAATTTTCTGTGGCAGTGTCTTGTGCTATGACTCATAACTCCTGTTTATCAGTTTTGCCCACAAGGTTTCAAGGTCATGGCTCACTTCTGCTACTGACGTTAGTCAGCTCAAATCCTCAGTCACTGTATCAGAATGAGAATAGAAGTTTCTACAAGGTCCAGAAAGCAAGGCTATATTGCCAGAGGCCATAAAAGATCCCATGTCTAATGAGTAGACCTCAATGCATTCTGCCACCTCACTTAGAGAAGGCATTAAAAAAAAATGTAAGTCACAAATGTGGAATAATTTAGATTCTATGTAGAATTCCAAAGGAATAAGTGTTCCTTTGACAGACAACAAGAATCTATATGCCCTATATGTGTACCTATATAGGTAGTTATAAAATTTAGGAACTATATGTTCTCCCCAACTGCTTTAGAGTAACTACCTCTGGATTTTTCCCAAGGTAAGTTAACATAGTTTAATTCTCAATAAACTGTTCTCTGTGACTAGAGTCTATCCCCAAAAAGAAAACAGAGAACAATACCAAAACACAAAAATCAGTATTAAATTAGCACGAAAGATGTTATTTATGTTGACAAATTAGGATTTGATTGATATTTATACCAGGCAACCTCAGGATGTCAATTCCTTGTATTGCCTTGAGATGGTCTAGGACTAATAGCAAGTTGTTTTCCAAGAGATTGCTGGGTGGAAAGGAAGGATCTCAGGGGGCTGTAGGAAGTGGAGGCCAACACACACACACACACACACACACACACACACACGTTTCCTTCCTTATATCCTAACTTTCTGGATGTTGCAGTCTGGAACTTCCTGGATTCCAGTGAATGAAGGGAAAACATTTTTAAAGAAGGCATTTAAGACCTTGCCACAATCACTCTGTCCCCATGATCTCTATCTTTCCTTCCCTCCCAAGTTCCACTGTATAAAAATCTGCTGCCTCTTTTTGTTGGACCTGCATGTTTCCGGACCTAAGACTTATTTTAACTATACCTGTATTTCAGGTCTAATTCCTCTCCAAAACACTCACCATCCTCCTACCTCCTCCCCCCACATACACACTTACATGCTCTGCAAGCATCTGGGTTGCTGTAACTGAAGTTTGTTGGGTCAGGCAGCATAAGGGTAAAGAGTGGGGGAAGGAGAGGGAAAAAGGCAGAATTAGAGGAGGAGGAAAGAAGAGAAAAGAGAACAAGAGGGAAGGGGAAGAATATAGCATTCCCCCAAATCACAGATTCCTTCTGTTCCTCAAAAGAGGATACCTGATACATTTAAACAGTAGTTAAGAAAAACACAACCCTACATTTTCTAAATGTTTGCATTTACCATTTCCTGGTTGCTCGTTATGATAAGGAGGTGTGAATCTCTGGCTAGGCAGAATTGCAGACTAGAATTCCAGTCCTTTTTCTCCACTGAGAAATAATAACAATGGTTACCATATCTCATCCAGAGGTCTGGACAGCTAGGACAGCTGGCACAAGTGGAGTAGTTGGAGCCTAGGAAAGAAGAGGACTTGGTTCACATCTTTATGGACCACTCAGTCTTGAAAATTAAATGAGAGATAAAATGGAATCTGGCAGTCCCGGGTCTTCCCTGCTCCACCACTTTTCAGATCGAGGGTTAGAGAAATGTGTAACAATGCATGTTCTCAATTTGAATACCTCATAAAGTCCAACGCCATCATCTACTAGTATATATTCCACTACACAAGAATGTGACTATAACTGAAGGAACAGAGAAGAAAACGTAGAACAATCTGCCTGAGAACTCTGAAGCAAGTACTGTACTCGTGCTAGAGATCTCTGTGCACATGTGATATAAACACACCAGATAACTGTGCATTTGCATGATATGTATCTGTGTACTGTCTTTGCTCAGTGTATATATTGCATAATTGCATAATGTATATTGCTTAAATCAGGCAGAATTATTCAGAATGCCCAACTAAAAATGCCAAAAAAAAAAAAAAGAAAGAAAAACTAGGAAAAGCAAACTTAATCAGAATCAAAATTTTTGGTTTTTTATTATCACAGACATAACTGTCTCTCACCATTGAAAATTGAAAAAAAAACTCTTATGTTTCGGCAAAAAGAACTAATATTTTTTGAAGGGTTTTCTGGTAGAGAAGCATAACAGTGTTAAAGTGATAGAATGCCCTAACTGAGCTCTTAAATACGGAAGATCTGCATTCCTTTAAAATAGTTGGCTCATAGTTCTGTCAAGATGAAAGGGAACTGGCCGGGCACGGTGGCTCAGGCCTGTAATCCCAGCACTTTGGAAGGCCAAGGCAGGTGACTCACATGAGGCCAGGAGTTCAAGACCAGCCTGGCTAACACTGTGAAACCTCATATCTACCAAAAATACAAAAAAATCAGCCAGGTGTGGTGGTGCCCACCTGTAATCCCAGCTACTTGGGAGATGAGGCATGAGAATCACTTGAACCCAGGAGGCAGAGGTTGCAGTGAGCCAAGATCACAATACTGCATTCCAGCCTGGGTGACAGAGAGAGACACTGTCTCAAAAGCAAACAATCAAAGATGAAAGGGAACTGAATACACTTTCAAGGTAATTGCAACCAAGATTCCAAAATTCTATTGATTTGCTACTTCAGTTTCCATGCTTACACATATTTGCATAAACTCACCATAAGCATAATTCTATAGTGAGCAAGTATGAGCCATTATACTCCATGAGCACACGTGTAGATATATAATTGCAGAATAGAGCATATATCTACTCTAGATTTGGGAATTACGAAGTGGGGAAAGTAGTACTTTTCATACATAAAGATTAGATAATTATTCTCTAAGAAGGCCTGGCATGCAAGCAATATCAGTTCTGAAGATCAAGCTGTTAAACCAGCACCTTATAGAGCTGTGCTTTTCCCATACACCTGTGACATTGCTCAGTCTGGGTTAGAAATTCCCAACTTCCCTAGGTCTTTTTGTCAAAGGTCGGACTTGGATCTAAGATAGAAACCCTGGAGCTGAACTCTTAGAATCCTAATAAATCACGTTTGTATAATCTGTCACTATCATTCCCTAAAAACACAAACCTAAGCTAGGACTCTAGACTGTAAAACAATAAACTGAGATCCCTCTAGATCACTAGGTTTGAGGGCCTAGAAGAACTAAACTTAGAAAAATTCATTTTAGAAAATGTGAAAGCACCTCAATGGCAAAAAAGAAAAAAACAGAATGTGTTTAATTACATTATGACATATCTATTAATGAAAAGTTAAACACCACTAATATAATTCACTAATATTATAATAATAATATAATTATAATATAATATCACAATAAATATGGAATTAAATTTTATGTTTCTGGCAACATAAAATTAAAAAGCAATATCCAAAATTATGAGTATGCTACGATCAGAACTATTCCCAGCCTTCCTTTAAAAGAAAGAAAGGTGGGAGAAATTTTGAGAGGACTTGACTGCAGCTCTACTAAGAAAATATGGTCAGGTGCAGTGGCTCACGCCTATAATCCCAACACTTTGGGAGACCAAGAAGGGCAAATGGCTTGAGCCCAGGAGTTCAAGATCAGCCTGGGCAACATGATGAATGTCTCTACAAAAAAAAATAATAATACAAAAATTAACCAGGCGTGGTGGCACGTGTCTGTTGTCCCAGCTACTCAGGAGGCTGAGGTGGTTAACTTGAGCCAGGAGGTCAAGGCCACGGTGAGCTGTGATTGTACAGTGGCACAGGATCCACTGGTATAGCAGCACACAAATCTGTCACCCACGGCCTGGGTGACAGAGGGAGAGCTTTTGAAAAACAAAAAGTGAAGAGCAAAGGCTGCGGGGAGCGGCGGGGGCGGTGGGGTGGGGAGCGGCGCAAAGGGCCGCCGAGCGGCGGAGGCACCGAGTAAGGTAAGAAAATACATGCTTACCTGAAGGCACATGGTCAAAGATGAGGAGACTATACCCAGGAAATAGCTGTATACAGACGGTGATTTATTTTGTTTGGATTATTTTGATTTTTCAAACTTCCTGCTGTGTTCTGCTGCTTTTATAATATAAAGTGAAAGATTAATTTCGGTTTAAGTTTGCACTTACCCTGGTACAGGATCCACTGGTGTAGCAGCACACTGGTAAGAACTGCAGTTAGAAGCCCCAAAGCTATTGCCACAAGGCAAGAACAGGAAGGCCTGGAAGAAGAAGCTGCAACAACAGAGTCAAAGCACAATCCTGAGTTGGAAGAGAGGTTGAAAGAAAAGAGAAAGTCAGGAAGGGATATCGCATCTGAAAGCAATCTGGCCTAGTGGGAACTGAGAGCCAGGCCATAAAGACTCCTTTTCCTGGATGTGTCAGGGACTTGCTCTAAAGTCTAAGGTAACCACCAACACCTGTATCAAGAAACATACTCTATTTATCAAGTTAAAGAATGCTTTCTTCCTTTGAAATTGTGGCTTACGCTGTCTCATACTTAAGTGGCAAGAATACAAATTGGTAGCTCTTTGGAGGACAATTTGGCAGTATCTACTAAAATGGCAGACATTTACCCTTGGCATAGAAATTTCTCCTTAAGAAATTTTTCCTACAGATATGCACACATGCAAAAAGTCATGTTTATTCATGGCAGCAATAATTGTAGGAGAAAAAGACTGAATACAATCTAAATTCTACCAGTAAAAGCCCAGTCAAATACATTTTGATATATCCATAAAGTGAATATACAGCATCTAATAAAGACTGGCTTTTCTTTTTAACTGCTATGGAGTATTTTGTAAGATATATAGTCAAGACAAAGAAACATCTGCAGAACAGGGTATACAAATATCTCTGTGAGCACACCCAAGAATCTGATAACATTGCCTCCAGAATGGAAAAGAAAAGGTCACTGGAGACAAGACAGGAAAAACACTTTTACCTTATTTTCTTTTGTACCTTTTGAATTTTGAACCATGTAAACATATTATCTATTCAAAATTTAAATAAAAATAATCTACATTTCAGAAGTGCTTTGTAAACTGTTGTTATTAAAAGAACCAAGTTACCAAATCTTTATTTGAAAATTGAAGATATCTCACAGTCATAGAAATTACATGTAACGAGCAAAACTCAGTAAATTAAGATGATATCGAAGTTCTAATTTTGATTCCTTTGTTAATAGCCTTTAGTTAGGAATTAAACTTGCCTATTTGGCCTTCAATTTCTTGTTTAAATTTCAGATAAATTATTCTATATGTGTGGGTATCAATGGAGTATTCTGAACTTCTTAAAGAAAAAAATTCATAATGAGAGATGCCTTCATAAAGAGAGAATACTGCATGATAAATATTTGGACTGATGAATCCAAAAACACTAGATTTCTAATAAAACTTTTAAAAATACATTGCATCACAGAAGAACATTTAATGAAATACACAAATGTTCATTTTTGTGTTATGCTATATTTAAAAAAGGTATCAAAGCATAATTGTATTTGTGTAACCACAAACCAATTCAAGAAAGTAAAATAAATTTTTTAAATTTACTTTCAATGTATATTAAAAGCCTCTAAATAGTTCCAACAAGGTTCCAATTTATCTCCAGTTGTGTGTGAGACCTTGAACATATACTTTGACATATACATTACTTCTAACTCAGTATTTCTATTCCTTAGAAATTAACACAGATATAATTCAAAAATAGGAAAAGATTACACAAAGTATACTGGAATGATTTAGCAAATTAAGTCAACACTCTCAAAAGACATTACAAACTCTAATAGTAAAACTATGTAGTAAAAAGAGAGACAGCTTAGGGAACTACCCTAAAGAATATACCTTGTGGGAGTTTACTGCCTAAGATACAAAATCAAGGATTAATTTTGGCATTTACACCATTACCTGTCTGTCTCAGATAATGTTCTCTTGGGGCTCTACATAAAAATGACTCTTTTGTCTTCAAATCCTCAGTCACAGAGACTATTATCTGCAGTGTTCTTGATACCTTTCTTCCCTGTCACCATTCTAGTGCAACACCTTGAGGTCAAAAAAAAAAATCTAGATATGTAAATCAGTTTCTTTCCTGACAAAAATCTTACTATTATCCACCAGAAGAACTATTGGTGTCCTCCTCATTCCATTGTCAGAAAACAGCCATACCTAGAATTTAAACAGCTGGTCCAAGGTTACTCCAAATATAACTAAAGATAAAGTTCTCCCAACAAAGTTCCTGCTTTAGTTAGGAGCAAGAAGGAATAATGGCATTGCCCTAGGTTGTGTTTCTTACACGGGATCAAAGAAGTGAATGGCTAGAAAAGAGTTTTACCTTAGACCTACCATCAGATCCTGTACCATAAACCAACTTTTCATATTCCAACTCTGGGCTTCAAACTGAACCAAAAGTATTTCCTCAAATTATCCTCGATTGTTCTGCACCCTCTGCTTCAAACTTATTCTATTCCCCATTCATCCATAGCCTACTGTCACTATTCATCATCCTCCATGCTATCTTGGTTAACTCACATTTTTGCGGTGGTCCATAGTCATTCTGGGCTTGGGTTGCAGTAGACAACTCTATCACAGAATAAATAACACTGTCAGTCATCTCCAGCGATCTTTCACCTGCAGTTGAGAGAGTTAAATTATAGAAGTGTGAAGGGACAGGTATCAGTGAAGAAACAGCCCAATCTCTAAACTGCTAGCAGGAAACTTGACAAAAGCAGAAGTAATTTTTCAGGAAATGATTCAAATTCTGGGGCTACCTATAGAAATTAATATTTTAAGTTATTTCTTGCTCCATGACACTCTAGATGCTCATTAAATATATATTGATTCCCCATCTCACCTAATTCTGTTGAGCAAGGGAAAATTGCTCGCAAGTCCAGCAATTTCAGTTACAAAAGCTAGAATAAAAGTGAGAGTGGTTACTAGATATGAATTTATCTCCGATTTTTTTTCTCTGCTTTGTTTCCTTCTGAAAAAGTAGCTGTATGCCAAATGAGACTGATTTCGTCATTTCTTGGAACTTTAGGGCAGTGATAAGTAATAACGAAATGGACTGTTGGGTGCATATGCCTGGAATCATGGGAGAAACTGACTATTGCCTAGATATAAGTTTGTGAATAAGACATAACGATGCCTTCCCCCAAACATTGTCTGAATTGTGCTATTGTCTTTACCCTTCACAGTGTCAGAAATTCCATTACATTTTCTCTTTGTTGTCTTATTTTTGCATGCAAAGATAACTAAAAAGAAGAGCAAAGTAAACGAATACATTCTAACGTCTTAGTAATTTATTTTTAGTAGGTTAAAAGTTAATAAAATGCTAAAGTAAGGAAAATAGTGTATTAAAACTCTTAAGAATGGATAAGATCATCAAGATAGACTGTACAAGGATAAAATAAAGAGACGAGAAACAGGGAGTACAAATTAATAAAAACAAATATATTTCTGCTTCCAGCCATGACAGAATGGCATTAGACTTACTTTGCAATCAAAATATTACACATGGCAAAATACAGGAGGCAGCTATCTTCAGGAACACATAGGCAGCACTGTGATCCTTGAAAGAACACACAAAGGTGAGTGCTACGATCACCGCAGCTTTCTATCTAGAATCTCTTTCTCTTTCTTTCTTTCCTTCTTTCCTTCTTTCCTTCTTTTCTTTCTTTCCTTCTTTTCTTTCTTTCCTTCTTTCTTTCTTTCTTTCTTTCTTCTTTCTTTCTTTCTTTCTTTCTTCTTTTTCTTTTTTGAGACAGAGTCTCTGTCGCCCAGGCTAGAACGCAATGGCGCAATCTTGGCTCACTGCAACCTCCACCTCCCAGGTTCAAGCGATTCTCCCTACCTCAGCCTCCTGAGTAACTGGGATTGCAGGTGCCCGCCACCACACCTAGCTAATTTTAGTATTTTTAGTAGGGATGGGGTTTCATCATGTTGGCCAGGCTGATCTTGAACCCCTGACCTCTGGTGATCTGGCCGCCTTGGCCTCCCAAAGTGCTGGGATTACAGGCATGAGCCACTGTGCCTGGCCTCTAGGACCACTTTCTAGTACAGAGCACAAAAATAATCCTTAACAGAACAGCAGTCTTACTAAAAGGAGGAGTCAGAGAGCTGCTTAGATGGAGCTGCTTAATGGAGTTTTGAGCTGCTTAAATGGCTGGAATTTGCAGAGCCGGGTAATTCACAAGAGAGGGGTACCCTGAAGACCATGTAGGAATTCCCCATATGTCTGTGGCTAAGTGCTAGGGTGCACAGAGACAGGACAAAACTCTGCAAGTCCAAGCTGAGATAGTTCCTGCGGGGCCAAGAGCTGAACAGAGAACAGAGGTGACGCATTGCTTAGTAGCACTAACCGAAAACAAAGCCAAACTTAACATCACCAAAGAAAGCCAATAATAGTTTAGCTGCCTGTGAGAACAAATTTTCACACCCTTAAGATGAAGGCAGAACAAACAAAATGTTGTCTATACCTACAATGGGATATTATTCAGTCTTAGAAAGGAAATCCTGTCATACTTTACAACACTGATGAACCTTGAAAACATGATACTAAGTGAAATAAACTGATCACAAAAAGACACATACTGTGGGATTCCACTTAGAATATGAGGTATCTAAAGTCATTAAACTCATAGACAAAGAAAGCAGAATGGTTTCTGACAGAAGTTTGGAGGGAAAAACAAGTTGCTTAATAGGTACAGAGTTTCAGTTTTGCAGTGTGATTAAGTTTTGGAGATGTGATGCACGATAATGTGAATATTCTTGTATTCCTTTGCTTGGGCTACCACAAGAAAATAGCATACCATAGACTGTGACTTGAACAACAGAAATTTATTTATTATCTCATCATTCCACAGACTGAAAATCTAAGATCAAGATGCAACAGAGTTGGTGTTTGGAGAGTGCATCCCCCATGGGTTGCAGACTTCTCACTATATCCTCAAGTGGCACTTCCTCAGTGTGTGCACAAGGGGAGAAAGAGAGTGGGCTCTGGACACTAATCCTCAGATCAGGACCCCACCCTTGTGACCTGATTTAACCTTAATTAAAAGGACACTAATCCTATCAGATCAGGACTCCACCCTTGTGACCTGATTTAACCTTAATTCCTTAAAGGCTCCATCTCCAAATACAGTCACACTGAGGATTAGGGCTTCAATATGTGAATTTGGGGGAGGCATTTAGTCCACAGTAATACTTAACACTACAAAATTGTATGCCTTAAAAATGATTAAGATCATTTAAAAAAAGGAATGTGTATGAGTGTGTTCTTGCACTGCTATAAAGAAATACCTGAGGCTGGATTATTTATAAAGAAATGAGGTTTAATTGGCTTGGATTCTGCAGGATGTACATGAATCATAGTGGCATCTGCTTCTGGGAAGGCCCCAGAAACTTACAGTCTTGGTGGAAGGCAAAGGGAAATGTCTTACATGGCCAGAGCAGGAACAAGAATGAGAAGGGGTAGGTGCTACATACTTTTTTTTAAACAATCAGATTGGCCAGGAAAGGTGGCTCACACCTGTAATCTCAGCACTTTGAGAGGCGGAGGCAGGTGGATCACCAGGTCAGAAGATGAGACGATCCTGGCCAACATGGTGAAACCCCATCTCTATTAAAAATACAAAAAGAAATTAGCCAAGCGTGGTGGCACGCACCTGTAGTCCCAGCTACCTGGGAGGCTGAGGCTGGAGAATTGCTTGAACCCTGGAGGCCGAGGTTGTAGTGAGCCAAGATTTCGCCACTGAACTCCAGCCTGGGGGACAGAGTGAGACTCCATCTCAAAAAAAAAAAAACTAACAAGAAAAACAACAATTAGATCTCATGAGAACAATTAGATCAGGGGAACAGCTCTAGGAAGATGGTACTAAACCATTCATGAAAAACTGTCCCCATGATCCGGTCACCTCCCACCAGGCCCATCTCCAACACTGGAGATTACAATTCAACGTGAGGTTTGGGTGGGGACACACATCCAAATAATATCAGAAAGCAACACAGGAATCAGGGGCTCTTTGAAGAAATAGCTAATTTAAGGCCAGGACAGGGAAAATACAAAATAAGCTTGGAGGATCTTCTAGTCTTTTAATGTTAAAAAAATAAGCAAGTTAAAAAAAAAAGATAGGAGGATATCAGGACACAGGAACCAACTTGGAAAAGTTCCTGATGGAGCAATATGAAGAACAAAATAAATGAAAGTACTGAATTATAACACAAAGGGAAAAAATATATAAATCCATACTAATTTAAGTAAATAAATAGGGAAGAAGTGACAAATATTCCTTACAGAAGATACCAAATAATATATGTAGATACTCCCCATTCAAGATGTGGAATTTAACTCTCCTGTCTTTGAGGGTAGTCAGTGATAAGAGACTCACTTCCAAAGAATAAAGTATGGATACAAGAAAACAGTAAATATTCAGTAGAGAATCTTGGCAAATACCACTTCAGCCACATGAACAGGGTTGACTACGTGAACCACCAGTGATGAATCTTGTTGATATCATGTACCCCCTAATATGATACAACGATAAAAGCACCTAACCACTAAGGTTTGTTCCCCAAAATCCATAACCCTGGGGTGGTATTATGATATATCTATTTATTGGTTTTCATCCACAGTTCCTGGCTCTTAACTCCTATGGCCCTCGTTATAGTCCTTTCTTATAATATTGAGTGTGTCAGGGCTCAAAGGGAAGGCCTCTGTCCTTCTCCTGCCCTCCTTTCATCTGCCTCAAGGCAGGACTCTAATCTTCTCTTGCCTTTCTGATTGCAGGACTTAAGTCCTTCCCCAGAGAGGGTCCTGCCCTATACTGGGGTACCAAGGGGCAGGGGGTCAGGGGCAGGAACGCTGATGTCCTGAAGTTTCTGCCACCTTCAAAGTATAAAATTCCAACCTCTGCTTTTACTGTTACATCTCTGTTTTCTGACTTCGACTGTACTTCTTCCCTCTTATAAGGACCCTCATGATAACATTGAACCCACATGAACACACCAGCATAATCTCTCCATCTCAAGATTCTTATCTTAATCCTATCTACAAAGTATCTGTCATAAAAGGTAATATATTTATAGGCTCAAGGGATTCGTATATTAACATATTTGAGGTGGGGAGAGACATTTATTCAGCCTTCCACAAGTGGTCATATTAATATAAGACAAAAATAGATGAGTGTAAAGAGGTACATTGCATAATTACATGTGTCACTGACTGCATCAAGCATATATAACAACTATAAATAAGTATGCACCTAATTTTGAACTTCAAAACATATGAAGCAAAAACTGAGTTAAAGAAAAATAAACATCTATAATCATAGTTGAATATTTTAATAACCTTTTCTCGGTAACTGATAAAACTATTAAACAAAATTCAGTAATAGTATAAAAAAATCTCATCACCATCATCAACCACCTTGACCAAACTAAATTAACCTAATAAAATGACATTCACCAATTAAAGAATACATGTTTTTAGGTATAAATAAAATGTTCACAAGGATATATTACATACTCAGCCATAATATATCTCAAAATATTAAAATCTTACACATATATTTTATAACCACAATGAAATCAATAACAAGGAAAAAAATCTAGATAATTCCTAAATATTTGGAAACTAAAACACACACTTTCAAATAACCCATGGGTCAAAGAAAAAATAATTTTAAAATTTAATATTTTAAATTAAATGATTATGAAAATAGAATATGAAAATGTATAGAACACAGCTAAAACAGTCTTGGAGTGAATACTGTAGCTTTAAATGAATAGAAAAGAAACACAATGAATAATTCAGGTTTATAATTTATGATGGTTAAAGAAAGAAGAGCAAATTAAAACAAAAGTAAGTAGAAAACAATTTTAAAATGCAAAATTAATAAAATTACAAAACAAAGACTAGAAAAAATAAGAAAGCCAAAAGTTGGTTCTTTGACAAGATTAAGACTGATAAACTTCTAATAAGATTGAGCAAGAAACAGCAAGACAGCAGACGAGGATGTACCAGTCCTTATATATCCAGAAAACAACAACAATTTAACAATTATCCCCAGATGAAAATAGCTCTGGGAGAGTTCTGGAGTACAATTAAAAAGCTGATGCAACTCAGTGAAGCACAAAAACTGAGGATGGTCATGCAGAAAAGTGTAGAAAGCATTTTACCTGTGCAACCCCATTGCCCAGGCTGGCACAGCTCAACACCAAGAGGAATACCATCAGCTGTGACTTCCTCACAAGGTGAAAAGGAGAGCAGGAGACCTCATGCAACCTTTGCCACTCA